TGGCTCAAGAAAATTATTTAAAATATGAAAAAGTTGCAAAGTATGGCTTCAAATCTATAAAAATGACATTTGATCATGAAACTACAAAATGACAGCGGAAATAGACATAAAATTGTCACAGGTCACCCACGATACTTGAATTTTGCATCAGAAAACACGTAAATAAGATTCAATACTACAAGTTTTTCTTGTTTTTTTTTAAGTTTCCAACTTTGCAAAAGAAGTAAAGTTCCTAAAAGCAAAGAAATCAATTAGACTTTATTGATTTTACAGATGTTTCCCCCTCAACATTAATGGTTGACATATTGGAATATTTTGTCACACTGACTTTTTAGAACAGGATACATAAAGATTAAATTATTTATGACATTAGAAGGTGCCAGCTTGTGAACAGAGGATGTACTGTAAAAAGAGGGGAAGATATCAGATCAATGCGGTGCAGATGAGGGAGTCTCGGGGGAAGAAGCTGGGTTTGTGGCCATCTGGTCTCTCTGAGCTTCACTCTGTCACAAGTTTAATAATTCCACTTCAACAACAAACTGACAATGAAATGACATCATCTCAGACAGTCAGGCCCTCACCAGACACAATGATTTAGTTGTGTTCAGCGTCCTGCAAATTCATGGGGAAACACACACACATAACAGGGAAGCACTGCCACACCGAACACAATGATATCTCCTCTCATTCCATTTATTGGTGTGAGTGCTCTCAGAGTAATTCAGGGGCTTCCTTGGCTCGTCATACGATGCCTCTGCAGCTATTACAGGACATTAGAGGGAAAGCTGTGCAAGAAAACTGTGGATCACGTTGCTGAAGTTGTTTGTGCTCCTCTGTTGATGCTGATGCAGGAATGGACAGATGGGCTCCCTTTCTCAGGAAAACACATTGAGGGGATATGTGAGTGAGGAGGGACCATACTTTAATAATACTTGCTATAACCACAGAAACCCTGATGAGTCTGTTTGGATCAGTACCTGAAAAATAGATTAAGATTAGGTCATCTTTTGTGTTTGCTAAGTGTAATTAGCACATACAGCCATCTTTATGTGGTTCACTCCAAAAGTTGATCAGTTCCTGATGAACATCAAATGAGTTTCATTCAAACATGCAAATAGGTTCAACTTTACCTAAATATAAACCCAGATTCCCCACTTTAAAACGTCTGCTCTGTGGGCCCTCTGTAGTAAACTTGTAGTCTTTAGACCACATAAATAGAATTAAAAGGCCACTTTTCAGTTACTTGGAACTGGATCCTTCTTCTGAAACCTTAGACAGGACAGTGAACATCTCACAGACCACCCATCCTCAGTCAAATATCTGGGAACAGATGGTCAGAGTGCAGATCAAATCTGTGTTTTTCACTCTGACTATTAACAAAAAAGTTCCAGCTTCTTTGTGTCCATTATTATGCCAAAACAGAAAAAAACACCAGACAAGGGCAGTAAACACAGGCAACGATACAAAACAGTTGTGAGTACTTTATCTCTATTTTTTAATTGATTGTTCAACAACAAAACATTTTAATATCAATGAAAATGATTTCAACTCAAAGGTGTTGAACACATATTTAATCAAACAATTTGCAGTGGTCTATTGTAGGAATGAATGCCTTGTAATTTGCATGGTGTGAATGTGTGTGTGAGTGTGTGTGCAGAAGCGCCGAGAAGCACCTGTTTCACTGAGGAGTCAGCTGGAGGAGAGAGTAGCTTCAGAAGAAAGGATTCGGAGTCTTAATTCCTAATATTTGGGCACCTTGCCTTTTACTTGCTAACTCCACAAATAACACACACCTGGAGGAGTTCTGCTGTGTGGTGGAGTTGCTAATGCTAGTGATTGGCTTCTACTAGCTGAGACATTCTCTACTGTTTCCTGGACACTAAAGCAACAACATCCTTCACCTTTGTGTGTCAAGATGGGCGAGTCGATGAATGTTAAGTGACAGTGTGACGTAGATCTGTCAGGATTTTCAAATCCTAGAGTTTTACCATCTATATTCAATCAAACCTAATACAGGAGATAGACAGGAGACTATTTTCATGTTCAGCTTGCAAGAAAAACTCAGAGTGATCGATTAATCAGAAATAATAATTAAAACATGTTTTTCAGGGTTTCACACCTTTAAATATACCAAAAATGAAACTTTCTCTTCCTGAATGAACTTGTCAGAAAGAGACTTTTTAGGTCAGAATGACGTAAATATTAGATTTATGACCCTGGAATGTATTTCCTTCTTTGTCTTCTCGCTCTGCCATTGCCTTCATGCATTATTTATCCTCCAATAGCCATGCAGTTTCCTCTTTCTTTTCATCTGCTGTACCCCACACAGCGGTAAGTTTACATAAACTATAGTCTCAGAAATAATTCAGTAAACCACCGCTGTTAATAGTTTGGATGAGTATTTGTACTGTTTAAAACAAACCGGAAAACCATAGATTTAAATCGAATGTGATGATTTTGATATCTGCTGTTTTCTAATCAGTGTCTTTCATAGGAAAAATGAAACTCTAGCTCATCAAGATGAATAATAATAATAAAAATGTTATTATCACGCCATAAATGTGGTCATGTGGTGCCCTTTAGCATACTGACAGCTGAGGAGGAGCTACACTGAAGAGAATGATCTAACGCAACACTTTCAAAGAAATTCAACATGGTTTTCATGCATTTTGCTGCAGGGGTGTTCAGATTAGGGAGACTTTGCACAAGCTAGGCAAATTTGAACACATCCCTGCAAACTGTCAGCCTGTTTGGTTGTGAGGTTACAGAGGGTGACCTGAGTAGAAGGTCATGATCGAATCAGGCAGTTGTGTTTGTTCTCTTGTCATAAACTTGTGGATATCAGCTGATTTTAAGAGTGTTTCTATGTAACAGTAATAAATAATGAATACATCACCCATTACTTTCCCAAAAGGCCTCTGTTGCTTGGATATCTACTCTTATCTGTGGAATAGGGATTAAAAGTGCTCATGAGTGGGTAAAATATGACAATGATACTAACACAGTCGGATCTTGGTTAAACCTTATTAGTGATGTTTGCTTAATGAGTCTTTGCAACTTTTTATCACATGCCTCGAAGCTTTGGGAAGATTTGGGAGTCCTCCTCCTTCTCTTTCTGCTTTCTGAGGATTGCTGTATAGTCACTGACACTTGTCAGTGACTTGATGCAATTTGCTGGGTTCCTTGTATAGGAAACATTATTTCTGATTGGCTTAATGAACTGACCTGAATTGGAATTTTTATTATGTGAAGTGCCTTGAGATGACTCTTGTCCTGATTTGGCCCTATATAAATAAACTTGAATTGAATTGAATTGAATATCACGTTTATTTTATGTTTCTAAAAGGAAAGAGATGTTATTGGGCATTTTCCCATAACGCTATAATTGGATAGTGGATCAAAACCTAAAGCTAAGTATCCTCGTTTTTGCTGTTGTACAAATGAGTCCTTTAGTCTATGAATCAGATGGATTTATGAAAGCATTTTTGGAAGACTGATGGAGAGGGGGGCTGATGATGAGACTGAAACTGTCAATAAAATAAATACAATGCAATAAAGTCTAACTGGGTTGAAAGTCAAAGTCAAAAGATGGATTATGTGATGAGGCCTTTTTGAGTTCCAGATTGAGACCAGCAGCAGCGAAGGCCCCGTCCCCTCTCAGCTTACGATGAGTCCTCGGTACGTCCAGGACCAGCTGGTCTCCTGACCTGAGAGACGATGATGATTGGTGTCCAGTAGCTCAAAGAGAAATGACTGAGCTAAACCACATAGTAAATTAAAAATAATTAAAACTAGTTTTAAATGAACTCTCAAATGGATCGTAAGTAAGGATAAAACAGAAGTCATGCATCCTCCTCTTCATTGCAGATAGACAAAATATAGTTTAACAACAGTCATACATAATAATGCACATTCATGCCTGCTAGCCAATGCTTTGTAAAATAATAATAAATTTATTTAAATAACAAAAGCTTCCCTCAGAACATTCTGAAATGCTATAAAATTAACCTCGGGATCTTTAGTAAGATTTTCAATGAAATTAGATCAAGTTCCTGTGCAGTAAAACCCTACAAAGGCCTACAGTGCCTAAAAAGGCACTGTATAAATGCAGGCCAGGTACCATTAGCCAAATGCATGGCTTGATATATATGCTTGCATGTTTTGATAAGCACAACCCTAACATGTTGGCTATTAAAAGACATTGCGGGCTTGTTTAGACTGTAAAGGCAGACATCCTAAAACCTGACAAAACCAAAGGCAGGGGATCTTCCAGAGAAGCCAGTGAAACAAAATCAGCCAGATGACAGCTGTTGTAGCAACGGCCCATAGCCTTCATAAAATGGTAAACTGCCATTGTATAGTGCCTTCTTAGGGTTCTACATCCCCCCAAGGCGCTTTACAACACAATCAGTAATTGTCTCACACAGACACACACACACACACACACACACGCACACGCGCGCACACACACACACACACACACACACACACACACACACACACACACACACACACACTGATGATGAGCTACACAATGTAGCCACAGCTGCCCTGAGGTGTACTGACAGAGGAAAGTCTTTCCAAATGTTGCTGCCACCAGTCCCTCTGACCACCACCAGCAGGAAAGGTGGGTTAAGTGTCTTGCCAAAGAACACAACAGCAGCATTCTCTCATCTGAGCTGGGATCAAACCTGCAACCTTCCGATTACTGGACAACTCACTTTACCTCCCGAGCTACTTACTGCCCAATAAAATATTACAATACAGGAGGTTGTTGGGTTTGGTAATGTTTTTAGCCTTTGATGCATTAATTCCTTCTTTCAATCCTAGAGGCTAAGCCCCCTGTGCCTTTCAATGGCCCTGCTCTGCTATCTGTCGGGTCTAAATTCTCAAAAAAAGTTAATAAACGAGCTGTTGTGTGTGTGTGTGTGTGTGTGTGTGTGTGTGTGTGTACGCACGCGCGCTTGAAAGTGGGCGTGTTTTGGATCTCCTGAAGCCGCAGAGCTGAGAGCTTCTGCTGCGTGAGAGGTGCATGAAGTGCGCACAGAGAAACCCAAATGGGTCACTCATTTGCGTCGTTTGTTCCCACCGACTGACCGCATTCTGTGCGTTGAAACACGGGCTACCAGACTCTTGAGTGAGCGATTTTATTTATCTAATAAAAAGTATTTTCCAACTTTGTTTCTTCAGCTAAACTAAAAGTCGTAGAGATGACAGCCGTGATCTTTTCCCTTCGAAGTTGCTGAGATCCGCATCCTTCTGCATCCGATCCCCATCTGGAAATATACAAAGAAACAGGATGAAAGCAGTTTTATTCTTTCTGATGCTCGGATTGGTGAGTCTGCTTTCAACTTTCTTTAAAGAAACATTTTGGATTTGAATACGCGGAATAAGTTTGTGCGAAACGTTTCATCCTTTCAGTTTTTAACTCCTTCCACATGCCCCTTTGAAATTTGATCAGGAAATGTTTTAATAAATCACAGCAAGCATGCTGAAATCTATACATTTGGATGTTTTGATGGATTTTTAGAGACATTTAAGACTTTCTTGGCACGTGCACCTGTCCCCTTGCAGCAACCATTCATGTTGACCACGTTATCGTTGCTGGAGCTACAGTCCAGCCGGCTCAGTTACGTTTTTGCCTGCAGAGAGCAGGACAACGACGTGCGCTCACGTCCACAAAAACAAACCTAATAAATGTCTCATTATGAATTAGTTAGTAAAAACTCAGCATCGCTCAAGGAGCTCTGCACTTTGTTCAGATCCACATGACATTACAGAAGGAAAACAAACCGCACGGACGCACGAGCCGCAGCAGGAGCAGAATATTAAACACGCGCACCCAGAAGGAAACAACGAGTGAGGCAGGAGCAGTGTCATGGCACGGCAGCAGAAAGAGCAGGAATCTCTTCAGAGTTTATAGTTTGCTGATTGTTTCCTTGTTCGACGTCCAGACCAAACTTCTCAGCGCGAGACAGCTCAGTCACAGTCTGGTTTAGGAGCTGCATCACCAGTAAACGACAGCTGCTTCCCCTGATGGTTATGCATCCTCTGCTGGCTCAGCACATGCAATATTGATAGATCCTGAACCCTTCCCCACTCCTCTTCATCCTCATCCACCCTTGCTCTTTTCCTCACATCCTAAAGATATATTTTTGTACACCAATTTTCCAGCTTTTGTGACTAAAAGTTATAAATAGTCACCACCTGTTTAGTTCCCTGAATATCCTCCGGTCAGAAACATAGTGTTTAGTTCCTTTAGGCCTGGTGAGCTAGCAGCTGGTCTGATCAGCCAAGACAAATGTGTGTTAGTTTGATGCCATCTTGACATCTCTATAATTGGAGAGTTGTTTATGGAAACTTTTATGCCGTCATCAGTTTTCAGGATCAGACACATGACATTATATGGTAAGTGTCTGGCGTATCGTTAGTTATCAGTGTAAATATTACCAACATAACCGTTGCACAAACTGCTATAAGAATTTGAAGCAATTAAAAAAATGTATATATATTTTTAAACTTTAAGCTAGAGCTTAAACATTGATCTCAGTGATTGCTGGGTTACAAACTTGACCAGTTTCATATTTGACATCAGTCTGCAGCCCTCTGTTGACCAAAAGCTGCACTAGATGGTTTTGTGGAGCTGGTAGGTGTTCTAGGGGGCGTTCTTCATGGCTGTTATCTGTAATGCTAGTGGTTAGCATTTTCAGTTTGCTGATCGTCAATAAAAAGCACAAGAAGAAGAAAAAGAAGAAGTTTGCCTTTTCTGGTAGCATCATGGCGGAGCCTGGAAGTAAAAGTAAGAGAGTAATGTCTGGAGATGAAGCAAAAAGCTAAAACCAGAGCGAACATCGGCATGGCCTACACTAGTTTGAGGAAGCTAAAGGAGGCTACTGAATCACGGACTGATATTGACCTGGCTTTGTTGCTACTGGACTTGTGTGTAATAATATTTTATATCAAACAGTGTGGCTCTTTTCACTTTGTGGTTTATTTTAGTATTAGTTGGCTCATGTTAGTATTAGCTCGTGTTTAGCGCCAGCTACAGCAGGTTGCAGCAGGTATGTTCATGACAGTTATAATTTTACTTTCAACCAGTAGGGCCGAGGAGCAGGACACTGCTCTGTGATACTTTGAGATGACAACACGTGTTGAAACTGGGTACAATTGGACCCTTTTGACAAGATAAAAATGGCTTGAACTTTATAGGCAACTCCAAAACAGACTGTTGGCATCTTAAAACAGCTCCAGCCTTCTAAGATTCACAGCGGCCAATAAAAACATACTTTTATTAATCATTACACTACCAACAATTTAACACCACACTATTCATTAGGCCAGTGGTTCCCAAACTTATTTAGCCGTGCACCCCCTTCTATGTCCCGACCATGTCGACGCACACCCCAGCCCCCACAGCAGGGCATGGATATATATATATATATATATATATATATATATATATATATATATATATATATATATATATATATATATATATATATATATATATATGTATATATATGTATATCAGACGTCAAGCTAAACAGACAGGGTTAAAGAATATGATCGACCTTTTTCCCATCACTTTCATTTTTTAAATAGTAATTAATAAGCATTTGATACCATTACAATTTCCTTTGATTTAATTTTAAATAAATATTTAGAGTGCCCAGGTAGCACATAAACAATGCAATTTAACGGTTTTCTTAAAGTAGGAACGTTTAACCTGTGTGGCCAGAGCTCTCTCCTTCCTTCTGCTCTGCGTAAACCTGAGCTGATTACCTACTTGTGCGTAATCAAATGTCTATAGGGGAAAAGATGGAAAAGATATTTTGCCTCAGACCGACTTATTGCTGTTTTATGGTGTGGCTGAATCTGCGATCCGCTGCCATGCGACCGGAATAACAAATGCTGCAGTAACATGAGATGTAGTCAGGTTCGGAGTCACTGGCTGGAGCGGACCCGACTTTAATACGTCATCCCAAAATAGAAGCTAATATCTTAATTTGACCTTGAATGAAAAATGTTATAAAACCTCTTAAAAGTTTTTTATCACAGAGGAGGCAGCGCTAATTTCTGTCTTCAGTCTGACGGCGCGCCGGCGTTTGCGCAGCGTGCTCGCTTATTGAATCTGTGTGTGTGTGTGTGTGCGCGCGCGGCACAGCTCCATGAGCCGTTCAAATTGGCGCTATTTAAACCAGTGTTACTTCTGCCCAGCCCTGATGTGCTCACTTGTGCACCCGTGAGCCGTGGTTCCGCTGGAACGCGTCTGACCTCTCTGACAGCCGCACTCTGAACTTCAGATCTTCAGCGCGCTGTTAATAGCCTGAATGGGAATCATTTCTTGATTTATTTTGTTACAGCCACAATGTTCTGTGTGTGAGGTTTACAATGTCAGAACACCTGCATGAGATAGGGTGTTAATTACAATCTGCCAGAATGACTCACCACCTTCAGATTCCTCCAACATCATTAAAAATGATCAAATACGGAACATATCGGTGTGTGCAGGCCAGAGCGCTGAAGCTCGGCGCATTGTTATTACGAAGCTAGGGCACATGTGGAGGACACACGCGCAAAAATATACTTGTTTTCAATTACATTTATTGGGCCCACTTCCGTTTTCTTAGGCCCACCCACAAATGAGTTTCTGGCTATGCTAATGGTGACATATGACAGACTTCTCTGAGCTCCGCAGCCATTACACTTTTCACCTCACGCACCTCCTAGCAGCAGCTCGCGCACCCCCGGGGGTGCACGCACCACACTTTGGGAATCCCTGCATTAGGCAAAATAGGTGTTCTAGCCAAACATGGTCGCTGGATGTCAGGAGCTGCTTCTCAACGTGCATGGGATAAATGGCTATACTGGTTGCACAAAAAGTGCTAAATTTAAGCTACTACCTGTGATATTTGTGTTTTTTAAATGTAAATTTGTGCTTTTTTAATTTAATGTGAAAATGATGATGGTAAGAAAGTTTGAACCAATTTAAAACACTGAAGCTTGAAGTTGTTTTAGGATGGCAGCAACACTCTCCCGTCTGGTCGGAACAATATCACTTTACCTCAGAAACACATTTCATACAGTATTTCTTTAGAAAGTGGTTATTCAGAGGTTTAAATTGTAACTTTTTTGCACATTAACTGTCCAGCAGGATCTACGCTATTAACAACTAAAGTTTACCTCCCTACCCGTTAAAACCAAGCATAGCAAAATTTTAACTGGTTGCATGTCCCAATGATTCTGTACATGTTGACTATTAGAGTGAACTGCTCGCTCTCGCAATAAAAACAACTTTAGGAAGTATTTAAGTCAAGCTACAACTTGCTAAAATGATGTGCATTTCTTCTTTCTCTTCATGCCAAACACAATTCACTCAAATCACATTAGTCTCCAAACTGCGCACTTTAGCAGAATTTAGTGATGCACTGAAATCTCAGTTTTGCCTTTTTAAGCTAGGTAATGTTGCACCCACACCTGGAGCAAAAAAAAAAAAAAAGAGAGAGAGAGAGAGAGAGAGAGAGAGAGAGAGAAAGAGAGAGAGAAGAAGCAGATGCCTAATGCAGGAACTTGGGAGTCATTTCTGGTGTCATTTTAAAACAGGTTTGTTCACATGAAGGTTTGTTTACAAGTATCTAAGAATGAATGTGCGCCAGTGGATATGTGTGCACCACATGAGAAGATGTTCAGGGAAAGTTCTGGAGATGGTTTTGATTTATATTTAAATCATTGCAAAACATGACTATGCATGCTGCAGTTTCAACACAGCTGCAAAGATATTGCAATGTTTAAGTGACTCATGCAACTAAACAAAAATGTCACAAAGGTCAAGCTGAAGGTCAACACCTTTACAAATGTATATTCGTTGGGATTTTATTAAGACAGATAAATTGATCAAATGATAATTTCAGCTCCTAACATTCACAAAAAAGTTTTCTAATTGTGTTTTGCAGACATGTCCTTATTTTGTCTTGCCTTCCAAATATTGTGCATGTCCACCATTTTGTGTTGAAAAGTCAATGCAAGTACAGGTGGCAGAACAAGGGCAAAATACACCAGCACCTTTAGGCACTCATCAAAAGTTTGCCTCCATTTCTTTAATTATTCTACAACCCCCCAAGGTGCTTTACCACACACCCACGTACACAGGCAGAACCTTTGGTTAACTCTTGCTGATTGGTTGTAACTCAGTAGGAAATGTCATCGGCAGACATTGCCAAGACAACCGCCATTAGTAAAAATGGAGGAGTTGCTGGTGAAGAGGAATGAAAGAAATTAAAATAAGCAGCAGTCGTGCTGTTTTATAATTGCTGTTTTTAAACTCCCAACACCAAAAGTGCTTCAGAATTTGCCCCACAACTGCATAATTCACAGGCCTTTGCTGTCTCACAGAGCACTGTAAAAATCTGCGCATCTTCTGGTCTTTAAACGCCACATTTTACATCACATAGCCACTCTATTGGTCCACTGGTTCAATTATATTATGCTGTACTTCAACGGAATGACACTATCAATGTTGTTAGAGTCTGAGGATGCTTTTTGGCGTTGATCAGTGACATCACCCCCTGCCGAAGCAGTTGTGATAAGCTAACGTCTGTGCAAAGTCCTTAAAGGACCACATTTATATAGAGACACAACACCTAAGAGGACCGAGCCATTGCATCTCCCGGTCAATTGTCCTACAGTGAAAACACAACTAATGTGAAACATTTCACACCCTACTAAACAGCACAACGACCACTTGTATAAATGTACACTTGTACCTGTGCTCTTTTTAAAATGTGAACTCTGGATATCTTGGGTCTAACCTAACGAGAAAACTTCAGCTACAAAAACTTTGTGCTTTTGAGACAATGTCAAATTAATACATTTCATACAACAGTATAGGATAGGAAACTTTAATAAAAGAATTCCAATCATAATGCACAGTCTAGCACACCCTGGCGAGAGATGCTATTTGTGAGTATCGGACGAACGTTTAGATGCTCTTATTTTGATGAGTCTTGGTGCTTTTGGTCAAACGGGAGAAATAAATGCATCTTATTCTTTGTAAATAATCATGATTTCAACATTAATATTAGTGATAATTTTTGTTGGATAAAGATATCATGAAACAGAGGAGCTCAACTTCAATGGGTGAATTAATAAACAAGTGTGTGAGCTTGCATGTGAAGAGACTTTGTCAGCTGACGTAGATGTGCCTGCGGGGAACTCTCGACGTCTTGTCAGCAGCATTCCACACACACCTGAACCCTGACGATTTATGTGGAACGTACCTCCTTCACAAAAGTTCACCAATCTATACAAGTGTGTGTACATCCTCTGACTGGTGATAAAATGTTCGTCTGACTCTCATTTAGGAAGTTGTTAAAACTAAAATAAACTGACTCACCTGTTCACTGAATCAGACTTTGTTATGAGATCAAACCAACACCAAAAAGCTAAGTTTTCTTCTTCAGGTCATATAGGCATTAAACCTCCTCATGTATCTGAGGAGGACAGACTCGGGACCACTTTGCTTTGGAAGGTGTGTGGGCGATTTACAGTGAAAAAGAGCTGTGTGATGAAGGTTCAGTGTGATATAATGTTGTTGAGGCCACACTCAAAGCTTTCTTGTAAACACAGTCTCGGGCTGAGACATGAGTGTGCAAGTGTGTGCACATTCTCATGCAATAATGCATGAGCAGAGGCAAGCACAAACATCTTTTACCTGTTGACAGCTAAGATAAAGCACTCAGTGGGTTACTTTTTGAAGAATGCTGGAAGAGGAGACCAGCCCAACGTGGTCTGTATGTGCGACCACGCTGCCTCGATTGCTATATCACTTCTTGTAAAATGCTCACACAGTTCCCACATGTGGTTAATGCTGAGGTTTTTAGACGTGTGATCTTATCATGCCAGCCCCAACCAATTCCACCGGAGTGTGAATTTTGTTCTGCAGATTTTTTGAGTCTTGCACGTTTATAAGTCAGATCAAGATAAGCTGTCTTATATTTCACACGGTCAAAAAAAGAAGAACTAGAAAAATTCATACCCCCTGATCCTTAAAGAGGAAGTTCACTGATAAACTTTAATACTTGTTCTTTTTGATCAGTCACTCTGAGTTTCACATGCAGGCTGAATGTGAAAATAGTCTGCTACCCTTTGTTCCTGCATTAGCCGCCTAACGAAAGTAGACGGGCTTGGGTCAGAAAAAGCCACACAGATCTATGCCACATTGTAAATTAGCACTCGCGGACTCACCCATCTTGGCTCACAATGGGGGGAGGCTGTTGTTATTTAGCATCCAGGAGAGAGCAGAGCGCGTCCAGCTGGTAGAAGCTGACTGTTAGCATTATAAACTCCACAACACGGCAGAACTCTGTCAGGCATGTGTTATTTGTGGAGATCAAACATCAACTGAGATAACAGAGTCAGTGTGTTGCTGTTAGCCAATCAGAAGTGAATCAGCGATATCTGAATATCATGAATAATAATGAGTAAGACTCCAGATCCTGCCGTTTTCTACTCCCCACTCTTGCCGCTCACTTCTACTTCCTGAAACAGGAGCGCCAGAGCTTTTTTCCCCCACAGAGATCGACTCACAATGCATTAATTCCAACTAAAGAACAGAGTGAATGTATCGAGAAGCAAACGTATGCCATGTTAATCCCTTTGAATGGAAAGTTTGTGGTTCAGAAATGAATTAATGAAAATTACAAGAATAATGGAGTTTCTTTAGCCTTTTCTTACAAAAACACTGCTAATTCTGTTTTCTAACAATTGAACATGGGAGGGTGACTTTATAGGCAACCAAAACAACTTTCATGTGTTTTTGCATTTATAATTTCATGCTTGCTGTTGAGTCTAATAACTTTATTTGCTTGACCTGTGTGTTGACTGTTAGGACTGGGCTCTGGCCAGTGAAGATAAATGTCCTTCAGGTCAGAATACAACATTTGGAGAATGCTGCAAGCAGTGTCCACCCGGTGAGGGCGTCGTCACACCGTGTCGAGACTCACAGACTGTCTGCGCTCCGTGCCTTGACAGTGAGTACAAAATAACAGCTGTTTGACTGCCATGTGGGTAGGTTTTGTGACATATTCAATTGTACAACCTTCAATTTTCTTTTCATACTTCAATGTCCTTGGGTTGTAAAGGTTATTTAGGGACTGTGTACATCAGTAAGACAAATGAGCTCTCGGGAAATGCTTTCACAACCTGATGGATTCCTTTTACCGGCTGTCTTCAAGTTTCCAAGTTGGAAAAAGGCATTAAATGCAGCAAAAACAGTTTTAATTATGAACACAGAGACAAAAACACAAGTACAGATCTGTTTAATTGTTCGTTTTGTGTGTTGAAAAGCATACAGATGGTAGTCTAAAAGTAAAGCAGCTTTGTGTTTGAAAGTAGATGCCAGACATATCTGCTCTCCAGTACAGCTCCCCTCCTCTTGGTCCTTACCATGTAAGGAGAGACGCTGAATTAGACTGAAGGACAGTAATATTCAGAGGATGCAAGAGTGGGATCAGCTCCAGATGCTGCAGCAGGCGGTATTCAGAGCACCGGTGCAATTAATAACCAATGTACACATGACCTGTGAATGGGGCCTCACTGGAACACCTTTAGGATACTTCAGTACAATCAGGACCTCCGGTATAATAGTTTAGGTTGCTCCCATGACATTAATTTATTTTCTGAGGTCAAAGGTTAGCTTGTCCTCCGTGGAGGACAGGGTTGATCCACAGCCAGTTTTCCAAGTAATAATTCCCCAACCATCCTGTTTCCAGGCCAGGAAGTAGATGTCAACCTCACTGGGTCCTTAAATTATTATAATTATAAGAAGTCCCAAAGTCAGAAACAGGTCATGAGAGATGTCACAGGGAATCTGAAGACAGGAAGATTGTTCATTTATGTCCTTGGGACATCTGTGTCCTCACTGAAGAGTAAAACATGTACTGTTACCAAAAAGCCTTTATTGTGATTTTCTTTCCATAAAAGCTGAAATGTTAGGTTCAAAGAGACATTAATATGTGTTCTATATCAAAGTCTTGGCTTCCTGCGGCATATGGATGTTTTTACTCATGATGAATACCCGTCTTATAGTATTTGTTCTGCTCGGACATGAACAGTGACAGGCCATGTGCATTCAATCATGGAGAAATACAGATAACTTTTCATCAGATATGATCACTTTGCTGTAGAGATATAATCTGCAATACAAGCATGTAAACTATTTCTGTCAATGCTGGTTATTAGTGCTACACTTTGACCTCTCAGTCCATCAGTCTTGCACTAAACCAGAATTTGGTGGGATTGTTTAAAGTTTGTCGGTTTACAACCTTTTACCTGAACAGTGGTAATATAGGAAAAATATGAAAGTGTGTGTTTACTTGTTCTGTTTCAGCAGCAAGTAGCATAAATTCACATGATAGCTAACACGTTTCACAGTGGCAGGGTGAATTATTTATTCAAAAGAAACAAAAAATTAAACAAACATGTGTTATGTTAATGAAAAACTCAAACTGAACTGAAAAAGCAAGTATTTTAAGAACTCTTTTCACATAATACAAAAATGAAAAGGTGTGTGTAGGTTGGCAACGTTCATGTCCCTCTAAGAAGCTGTACCACCTCCCTGCCACGCCTGGTGTGGAGTGCGGTGCCTTGGTCTGCCTGGGTCCTGGCTCCCGGGTCAGGGAGTTTAAGATTTTTGGCATTTGCCTGACCAATCCCGGTGGCTGCCTGGCGGGGTCTGGGTCCCTGGGCTCTGCTGGGTCCCCAGCGGGGGTGGTCGCCCCTGGGTCCCGGGTCATTGGGTCCTGGGCTTGGCCGGCTAGGGGGTGGGAGGCTGTGGGCGGGCCTGTGGGCTTGCCGCTGATATCTCCCGGGACTCTGCCGGCTGCTGGTTGTGGCCCCCCGGGGCGATCCTCTGCGCCTCTCGAGGGGAGCAGGGGCTTTTCTGGTCGCAGTCTCCCTGGAGTTCCTGTGCTCTGGGGCAGCTCCTGGATCTCTGGAACTTGGAGCTCCCTCCATCTCCTGCACATCTTTAGGGGGCAGATCTGTGGCCCCTCACACTCTCTATTGGACGCCCCTATAAAAAACCTTACATAAACAAGCGCGTGTACACACACAGGTGCTCACATGGTGCTCTCATGCAGTCTTAAGGCTATGGTGGGCACTTAATGCACTGTGATTTATTATCGTGTGATTGTTCAGTTAAACATTGTTGATTATATATTTCTTCAAGTTGACACAGTAATAGCTTGATCTTGTATTGTTGTTGTGTCCCATTTTTTTAGTTTTTTTTGCTTTTTTTTCTTCTCTCTTTCTGCAGGTCTAGAAGCAGATTCTTGTTCATTGTTGTTTATTTTTGTGGAATCTTTTGTCTCTCCCTTTCTCTTTCACCTCTGTCTCCGTGTCTGGTCAGAATTAAAAAGCATTCAAAAACAATAACAATGAAGTTTTAAGTATCAGGCGTGACATTAAAAGCAGACGCTTTGATGCTCCACCTGAGAGTAAATCTGTAAGTTTTGCCACCAGCATTCAGACATCAATTCTGTTTGCTTCACAGCCAGACAGGACACACACAAAAAGATAAAATAAAAAAGAAGCTGTACCACCTTGAGTCACGTAAAAATGTTACTCAATGTAATACATGTGACAGCCCCATCTAGTGGACAACTTTTGTTTCTGCGCATACCTGTAGTTATCGTCCATTTATCATTATTGAGGTGAAATCCTCAATATATTGTGTTATTGATTTTAGGACACATCGCCCAGCCCTACTCTGAGTTTATAATGCAGTCTGAACATGAAATGGTCTCCTACACCTATCTCGTGCAAAGCTTCTAATAGAAAAAAAAACTGTGAAACTTTAGGATTTGTTTGCATCAGTGCCGACGCTCTGGCACAGCGCGTTGCCTCCCGACGCACTGGAGCTTGTCACCTGCTGACAGCAGGCTGCTGTCTTTTCCGAGGGCTGCATCTTGCCGGTCATTATCACGTGACAGCGAATAGTCGATGACAGGCATAAAATGTCACTATAGTGAAGTCGACTAGTTCATACAACCCCTATTGCTCCCCAGTGTTCTGCAGCATAATCAGCACGTTCTCTTAGAATTTGATATAAAATTTTCACCTCCTCTTCGTCTCCGCACCTGCCAAATCGCGGTCGGTCACTGGCAAATCAAAAGTGAGACGGATGACACAACCCCCCCCCACCCCCCCCCCCCCCACCCCCCGTGGTACTTGCTTGTTACCACATTCCACCCGGCCACAATAAAATACTGGCCATTATTCACCTCCACCGACTCTGACACCGGCCAAAATATGATACCCGGCCGTTAATTGAATACAGGCCAATATTAGAGGATTTACGGTATGTAATGTTATTTAAAAAAAGCCTTGGGGTTATTAAATTATCTAGAGCTGAATATTAGACTAATGCCACTTACCCCCAAATTCCACTACCTCTGCTCCGCTCCGACACGAACGCCGGAGCAAAATCGGTCCCGTTGTAGTCAGTCAGAGCAATTCCACTACTGCGGCCGTGCTCCGGCAGTGCGGCGCAGTGCGCCGCCCTCTGTTCCGGCGTCCGGCAAAAATAGGATTGATTCTATTTTTGCCGGACGCCGGAGCACCTCCGCAGTAAATGGACAGAAATCATAACCGCCCAACAGGAAAAGGAGCAAGCACAACTTCCGTTTTTCACAATAAATCGATGAACAAAAGGCGTTTTTTGTTTCATATGCACAGGTTTAACAACTTTTAACAACTATCAATGGCAGCTGAAGTTTAAATGCACAAAAGTAAGCCATAAATACAGTTTCCACTATCAAAGTAGTCACACTTTGTTGATCCAAACACTGCTGATCTCTCAACACAAATGATGGGCAGATTAAACATTTCATTTCGATGCTTCTCCCACACAACGGGTGTTTGGATCTAACTTCCGCGTTTATTGCTTGGACTGTATCGCAAGATCTCGAAAATCCCACGCATGCTTGTTTGCCCACCTCAGGTCTCCGCACCGGAGCGGAGCCGTTGTAGAGCGGGTACCAGTAAAACTTGAGTTAGGAAGCGTGTGGCTGCGGAAGGCGGGGGCGGACCGAAGCAGAGGTAGTGGAATTTGGGGGTTACACACTAGCACCGGCTCCACTCCACTCTGCCCGCCCCAGCCTGGCCGCGTTCGTTCACTTTAGGAATGTGGACATGACTGAGCACATGGGCGGTCTGTGGCCTGTGATGTCATGAGCGCATCTCCGAGCAGGTGAGCGGGGCAAAAGAGCGCAGAGAAGTCCACGGTGTCGCCATCATTAAACAACAGCGGCCTGAGCAGTCTTGTTTTGGGAGACTCTCTGACTCTGATTTTGCATCCTGCTTTGCTGTGTCTGGCAGCACTGTGCATGTGTTTGTGTGTGTGTGTGTGCGCGCGCCTCCTCGCAGCAGTGAGGGACAGAGAAAAACGGCTTCAGTCAGAGGCTCGTTAACTCCACAGCATCCAGAAGAATAATGAATCGCGTATGTGGGAAGCCCCTGCGGGCTGATTCTATCTGCCTATCGGAGGCTCCCTCTAACGGTACGCATGGTTTTGATTTGGCCAATTAGCCGGCAGTGGGTGTGTCAGCCCTGGTTGGCTCCAGGCAGACCGCCTGGGGAAGAGGGCTGAAAAGATGTCCGGTTACACTCTGGAAAATTTCAGGCTACATAAATGAGAACACTCCCAACCCGGTCCAGGTGGAGTGGAGCCAATGCCAGTGTGTAAGGGCCATAAGATGCTATTTTACTGTATACCATGAAACTTGGGATATTGTTCTGCTTTCATTTAGATTAGTGCCAGTTCACTTGAAATAGTCTGGTTTTGATGCATTTTTTAATCAGACTTGGAAGTTTATAATGTTTTTTACAACATATATTCATGTTATTATGCTATTCACTAACAGAGTTGAGTTTTTGTTCCTAGTGGTTGTAAAAGTTTTTTCTGAATCTGAAACTGGAAATAATTTAAACCCCATCACTTCTGTAACTTTTTCAGTATTATACATTAAAGCTAAGACAGACATCTAGCCAAGTCCAACGCACTAAACACATTTATTTATTCTGACAAAGTTCCACAAGACTTATTTATTACAGTCTAGAACAATAAAATAATATCAAACAAAACCTCATTTAACTTGGAAATCAATGATAGAAGCTGAAGTGTTCCATGCTAATTTGATTTATAAACTGTAACCACAAAATATGTAGCTTTATTTTGGCAAAACTAAAGTAGATTTCCTTTCCAAAGCCATAAATTTAGCTACTTTTTCCTCCTTTGCTAATGCATCTTCTTGGCTTGTGTCGCTACATGCAAATCTTTGATAGCATCTTCCTAAACAAATGACCAGTCTTAAAATGCAGACTGTAGTTTTCTCACACTTTTAGTAACGCAGACAGTTAACAGAGGCTAGGCCGAAGTGTTACAAAAGACGGCCAGCTGCAAAACACGAGGAGTCTGGATGAATGAGTTGATAACTGGAGATGAAACAGAACAAGTACAGCCGGAGTGGAGACGGGGGAATGTTTCAGCCAGGAGTTAATGATTTATTCTCACATACACAAGTACAAACACATCCAAGAAAAAGGAAACGTCCCCGCTCAACCACGCTAACCACAAGCTGAGCAGGAGCCAAGAGAAAAGGCCCAATATGGATGTTAAAACAAAAAGGAGTGAACATCAGATCAACAGCAGAAACATTGCTGTGATATGATCTTCAGAAGGTAAAATTACCCCTCCCCCACCTCCGCCCCATCTTTCCCCTATCTCAAAGCTGCATTCACTGTTATTAATGTATTGACTTGCATTATTGATGCATGGCATTATGATAATGGCTCTGAGAGCACTCATGGGGGTAGTGATGGTAGTTTGAGTGTGTGTGTCTGAAAAGAGGGGGGGGGGGGAGTATAATGGGGACGGGGTTGGGGGTAGCAGTAAATGACTGCACGCTAACAGATAGTGAGAACTCTGATTGGTTTCCAATTCTGGGAAGATAATTAAACAAAAATGTGAGGGACCAACATTTGACACCATCAGTTAAAGACGGGACCGGGAGACTCATCCAGTTCTTGAATGACGTTGTTTCTACTTTCTTCTCTTCTCCCTGTCTGTCTGCATCTGTCTATCTCTGCTCATCTCTGTTTTTATCTCTGCATCATCAGAGCATTCAGCGTGGTTGGTGGGCTGATGATGCTGACCAAGAACCTGATCTGCTACAAAACACTGAGCTGGAGACTCCATGCTTCATGGCTCCTAACCCACCAGTTCTTCATTTTGAACAAATTACCAACTCATCGATTACAAAAGCAATCCTAGGCTAAACCTTAGAAGATTATGCAGTTAAAATTTTGGAAACATGAACAGTATTTGGTTTTATATACTTATGAACCTTTTGGAGGTTAGTTTGGTATTTGGCTATCGTACATGTGTTTTTTTTTTTTTGTCTTTTTTGTTGGGACAAAACTGCCTATAGAGCCATTGAATGTTATTATCTTTATCCATGTAACTGCGGACATCCACACAAGCTGGAGGGCTAGAACCTCATCTCCTTCCATTATCCAGAGCGGTATCTCTGTGATTTAAACTAACAAAATAAAACCTAGGGATAGAGATATTACTACTTTAGATCTTCTAACACATATTTGTGCAGATGAATAAAACAGTTTTTGTGTAATTATTATAGCAAGACTGTTACTGTGGGTCACACACAGAACTACACACCACACCAGTCTTTTCACACACATTTATGTCTGAGGACTGATCAGCAGCACAGCTCCTCCCTGGTGCTGGATTTGCTCGGCTGCCCCCCCCCCCCCCCCCCGTCTTGCATAATTACATAAAATAAAAGCATATAAGTCACTAGATGGCTATAACTTGTTTGTTTCTGGACATGTGAGGCAGATATTTTACTTTTTTACTGTGTCACAAGACTTTGTCTGCCAATATGTGGGTGGTTTATCCACTAGAATTTCCTTCAGCATATTTTATCAGCTGGAAACCTGTAAAATTTTGCGTTTACTGTCCTTCTTTTGTCTTCTTGTGCAGCCTACAGCTCTACGTGTGTTAACCATGCTGATAGACTTTATTTAGCCATTATTTAGCTCAGTTTATTGACAACAAAATGATCAACAGTGGTCAACGGGGAAGTGCCAGCTTCTTGCCCTCTAGCCTGGGGCTGGGGGTGTGGGCACGTGACATCACGTTTCATTGAGTCTATAAACATCTGACACCATTACAATTTCATGCTCAGAAAGCTTAAATGCCTAGTGTAAGGCTAATTTACAGGTTCATGATTTTGTATATCTCTTTAGGAAAACCCCAAACTTGATCACTAGACCATAAAGCATTCTAAATTCAAGATTCAAGATCCAAAACTTTTATTCTGTTTTAAGAAAAGCTTACAACAAAATTAGCATTTGGCACGCATCTGCATGTTACCGAGTTTCTCCTCTGACCCATAGAATAAGCACCTGTGTTACCAAATGATGTAGAACGACACAAAAAAGAAAACTCTGTCTCTAAATGCCATATTTTAAAATTGATGAACTCGTTTTGATGAGCTGACTCAGTTTCCCTCTGCTTGATAAGTTTACAAGAGTGGTATTGGGCCACAGTGGACCAAATATTTTTATTGTCAGTCCCACAGCTCTCTTGCTCTATCTCTTACACACATGCACACACAAACTGCTCGTACAAATGGGTCTGTTGCATAATTTAGTGCATTTCCCAGTTCTCTATCCAGTCGAAATACATTTCCATAAAACATGCTTTATTGATTGTAACCTTTCCAGAATGCAGATATGTCTGCCCACGGAAATATCACAGGTATGACAAACACATTTGATAAAATTGTTTTTCAGCCTTTGAAAAACAAAAGCAAATTAAAATTAGTGCTGCTCTTTTAAATGAGAATTTGTTCAAATTAAAAGGGAAAAATTTTCTGTAAAATGAAAAATAAATAAATAAACATGATTTTGTGGTAATTAGCCTGAGCTACAGCTTCCCCTTTGTGGTTTTAGGTTTCAAACAAAATCAAAATTTTTCAAGAAGCAAAGTTTTATTTTATATGTGGAAACAAGGAAAATGTTTAAAATGTGCAGAGTTTGAAGTTCTAGATAAACCCCAGTCTAAAAACTGAAATCTTGAAGCAGTCAGTTGTTAAACCCATAATACTGAATAATGCTTGTGTAAAATATTTAATATAAGAAGATGTAACAGAATAAGATAATAGAATATTCATCCTACATTGGAAGCATTTATTCTATTTTAAGGAACCCAGCCAGTTATCAAATCTTACACAGTCTAAACGTTTGCAAAAGAAAAGTTTCATTTGCACTTTTATTTCTTTCAGGTGAAACCTTCTCAGAAAACTTCAGCCACACAGAAAAATGTCAGCCCTGCACACAGTGCACAGCCCTACACCGTATGGAGACACCCTGCACTGATGCCAACGATGCAGTCTGCATCTGCAACTATGGCTACTACCTTAATGACATGTCTCAGAGGTGTGAACCATGCACTAAATGTACTGAAGGCTACGGCATGTTGCTCAGCTGTGAGGGGGACCATGATACAGTGTGTGAAGAGTGCACAGATGACACTTACTCAGACCAGGAGAGTTCTCGGGAGCCCTGCATCCCATGCACCACCTGTGATGAAGAGGAAGCGTTGGCTACCTGCACATCTATCAGTGATACAGTCTGTCCAAGTAAGAATTGCAACTTTTGTTATAGACTTTTTAGGGAACACACTTAGTTGTCTTTTCCAACAGTTATATGCAGGAATCAACATTAGAAATGAAAAGGCACTATTATAAGACACACTGTGTCACAGTGTCTCATGAAAGTGCTGTGGCGGCATGGCAATGTGAGAATTTTACTTCATTTGTGCCACCAAGCTTAGTAGTAATATTGCTGCAACGCCAAACTTGTGAATGAACATTACACCTTTGCGCAGCAGAAGAAGAAGAAAATATTTTTCTATAGCGTCTCTCAAGATAAAAATCACGAGGCGCTTCACAAAAACAAAAAAAAGTAAAAATAAAAAAAGAATTTAGAAAATGGTTAAAATATATTTAAAATGAGCAAAAAATAGACAACTGTGATTCAAAAAGTAAAGAAAGAGAGAGAGTGAATAGGAAAGAGGGAAATCAGTGGATCCTGAGGAAGGTGGAATAGGTGGGGAGAGTAGAATAAAGAGAGAGTGGTGAAGAAGGTCATACAAAAGCCAGCCTGAACAAGTGATTTTTCAGCTGCTTTTTAAAGGAGTCCACTGAGTCCACTGATCTCAGGCTCAGGGGGAGAGAGTTCCAGAGTCTGGGGGCCACAGCAGCAAATGATCTGTCACCTTTGTTCTTTATCCTGGTGCTGCACAACCAGTAGTCTTTGATCACTGGACCTCAGGGACCTGCTGGGGGTGTAGGGACTGAGAAGATCACCAATGTATGATGGTGCTTGTCCATGTACGGCCCTATAGACCAGAACCAGGATCTTGAAATGAACCCTGAAGTTGACTGGCAGCCAGTGAAGCTGGAGGAAAAGCGGGGTGATGTGGGTGTGTTTGGAGGACTTGGTCAGAAGCGGAGGAGAAGAAGAGAAGGTGGCAGTGTCATGATCACATATGGAGTTACTGCCGAGATCTGGCTGGCAGCTACATTGAAAATGAAAGTAAACACAGGCAGTAAGTTAAAGTAACACTAAACAGTTTCCAGCTTCTCTGTGCTGCTGGTTAAAGGGGAATTATAATTGTCAAAAACAACCCGGCAGCAGCCTGCTGTAACTAACAACGGACTAACACTAACATGAGTCAATTCTTACTAAATAAGCCACAAATTTAAAAAATCGAAACTGTTGGACAGAAAAGATTATATTTACAAATCCAGTGGAAACAAAGCTAGGTCATCATCAGCCCATCATTTCATAGCCACCTTTAGGCTGTGCTGATGTTCACTCTAGTTTTAGCAGTTTGCTTCACCTCCAAAGACATTACCGTGGTTTCACACTGGAAACATCAGTGGTGCAAAACGGCAGCAGAACGGTTTACTTGCCAACTTCAAAGCAGTTCATTTCGCACCGGGAGAGTTTTGGCCACGGTATGGCTTCCTCGCTGTGCTCTTCGCTGGACTCGCAAGATCACACGATTCCTCAGGACTTCAAAGGCCACAGTTTGTTTATTTCATTTGCCATTAAAATATATAATTATATATATATATATCTATATATATATATATGATTATATAAATTATATATACATATATATATAAATATATGATGTTGTTCCATTCTATTGCCAGGATTAAAGCCATGAAAAACACACTTCTGGAACAATACTGGGAGTAAATAAGCCCTTGGGTCACACGTAAGCTACACATATATGAAATTGCATTGCTGTAGTAGTTTTATTTTGAAAACCGGGGATTTTACTCTGAAACCGCTTGTGATTTCCTGTCTAGCCCTATGTTAAATGCGGAAACTGACGTGTTCCAGAAGCAAAAATAGAACTCGATCCTATCACGGTGTGCTGCTTCTAGGATGTGCCTGAAAAGTGCCATGTCGAGACTGGTGTGAAACATTCCACAGTCTATAATGGAATTTATTTGAAGCAGTGACGTTCCGCTGTCATTTCTCGCAGCTGATGCTGTCATTGTTACTCTCTGGCTTTCACTTCCAGGCTTCATCATGATGCCGTCAACAAAGCACACTTCCTCTTTCCTCGTCCTCTTTTGTTTTTTATTGACGGTCAGCAAACTGAATAAGCTGACTGCTAACCTTTTATTAGCTACCGACACGAAAAATAAACAGCCGTTAAACAGGTAAAGCCCCCCCCCCCCCCCCCCCCCCCCCCCCCAGGGCACGTACTGTACCCGCTCCACGAAACTAAATGCTGTATCTGGCCAGTAAAGGGCTGCAGAGTGATGCCAACTATGAATCTCGTTAAGTTTGTAACTCAGCAATCACTGAGATCAATGTTAAAACTCTAGTTTAAAGTTTAAAAAACTGTTTAGTATTACTTTAACAGAATCAGCTAAGATGGCAAACTGGAGTGATGCAGAGCTCTGGGAGCTTGTATTTGTTAGCTGGATCTCGGGTCATCCAGACAGTTCAGGGGGAAATGCAAGGAAGGATTACACAGAACAAACGTACAAAAGAGGTTCACGGGGAATGTGGAGGGCAGGCACCTTTGGGAGCGGCTTGTCAAGAAAACTTAAGGAGCGTGGATTCAATCACAAGAAAATGCAAGTTATGTTCAAGCTAAAAAAAATCCATGGCAGCACAGAGACTGCCTTTATCCATTTTTATCATGATCGTATGTTCTTTTGTAAAATTTCACAATTGTGCCACATTACTGACACAGTCTGACCATTTAAAAATGACATATGGCTCCCAAATGCAGCCTCAGCTTTGGCAAATTGGCTCCATTGTTTTATAAAAGCGGCTTTAGTTGGACTTCGGGGAAAGTGCAGTGACATGAGACATTCCAAATCCGTACTTACAGTTGCGCCACCAAATGAGGACAGAGGGGGAAAAGGCCACTCCGGTGAACAAACTGTGCATTTACTCCATTATCCTTTTCGATTTTCATAAACCCACCCAACTCTGTCTTGGACCATGGATCACTGAGACCATGAATAATGTATTGACTTCTGATTGAAAAGAGGAAGACAGGTTTTCAAAATTGCCACGTTGCTAGCACCCATCCTTGAACCCTTTAAAATGGGCCAGTTTTTTAAATGGTACGTCTGGCTTTTAGTTGACTGTTCACAAGACTAATGTGAGCTTTGATAAATACCCGGACGTCTGTGCTTTCTGCAAATCACCATTTAGTACCAGTTGACTATTCTAAAACATTGAGGCAACATCAAATATTTAGCAGTCAGATTCAGTTTCATGGCACCACCAACAGTGGGACAGCGAAAAGTTGTAGAGTGACCCTCCCTTCAAAAAAAAAAAACCATGCAAGTTTATCATGAACTTTCATGCTGACTAAAGTTGATTGACTGGGTTCACTGCTCGAGGTCAGAGTAAAATGAATAGAATAGATGTTAGCACATGTTTGCTGAGCAGACACTGGATGGCCACTTTGTCAGCCACATAATCGGTCTATCTCAGTTGGACACCATAGTCACTGTTGACTCATCAACCTAAATGTCACACTGAGGCTTGACTCATTGTCTTCAAGGACTCATCCCAAACAGAGAGACAAAGACTACAGTCTTTAATTTTGACGGTTTACAGGGAGGTCATATCACTGAACAGAAGCTTTGAATTTTTTGTTTTACATCATGGTACCCTGTGGATAGAACACTCCAATCACAAATTCCTCATGACTGCAGTCCTTTCTCATACCAATGATCTGATGCCTCTCAGATTAAATCAATGCTTTTGTGAGATGGCAATAAAGAGCCTGTTGATTAGCCATGCAGGCTGTTGGGGAAGTGGACATGAAGGCTGTTGTGATCACAGTACAAAAAATAGGATTAGTCTTGGGATGAAGGGAGTCTTTTGTAGCCCTCTCATGATTCAGTGGCTTTGGTTAGGCCAGTTGTTCAGTGGCTTTGGTTAGGCCAGTTGTGCCTCTTGGCAGTTCAAGTGACAGTTTTAGTCATAGTTATATTTCTGGTTTATTGAACAATGTCAGCACAAAAGACAATGTTACAGAATACAATTATTGTTTCGTACAGAGGTTTTCTAGCCAGAGGCTTACTTCCATCTGTCTGCTCACCAGCTCTGGTGGTGGTGGGGGGGATGGGATGGGATGGGGTTGACAAGTAATTAAAATTGTGCCCACATTTTCAAAGTTAACACACATCTCTTTCAACAACGGTAGTTTTTGCATCTTTACTGTTCCCCTGCTTCAGCCCTCTCCCCGTTCCCCCAGAGCAGCGGCCGCAAACTCACTGATGCACCTGCAGCCTCTCAGAGTTCCTGCTGATCTAAACATTGAAAGAATAATTTCATTTTCTGTTCCTCACTTCTGATGACATTCAATAGTGTCTGTCTGTTTCAAGCACCAGGTACAAAAACAAACTTGTTTTTATGTGACTGTTTTTCTGTCCTATTATCTTCCTGCATCTTCTCTCAACCCTAAAGAAAAACTGCTACCTGGCTTCATATATTTTCACCTCATAAATTACCTTTGAACTGCAGCTACCGACCGCAAAAATAGCGCAGTGCGTGCTGACCACACCAGTGAGGTGAAGTCACCGGAGGACGAAACAGGTGATGCGCTCCGCTCCACAGCAGCGAAACGCATCAGGCACAAATAAAAGACAGAAAGCATGAAAGGATATGAGCTGACATAAACGATTGCATGTTAAGTTTGTTTTTGAGGTGGGGTCCCTTTGATAATGGTACTGTGGACACGCATCTGTCAGGAGCGCATCAACGATCAGAGCTCTGCGCCTCTTAGCTCTAAATAATCCCCAGAGAGTCCACATAGATAATGTAATTTAAGTAGAACCAGGGTTGTTTTCGGGCTCTCCCTGGGTGTGTTGAGGGCTTGCAGTAGCTTTCTAGCTAGTCGACCTAGTTCACCCATAATTCGAATCCTGAGTATAGCACAAGTTTGTCATGTGAGTTGCCGGATCCTAACAGACAGTTGCTGAACGGTCCTTTCAAAATAAGATAGTTCCTGGATCTTCATCCGGCAAGATCCGGCTCAAATTCAAGACTGGTTAGGGCATTGTACTTCTCCTGTATCATACAGTGA